TTGTGTAATTTCGAAATTCTTCTTAGCTTTTTATTCGCTATTAAGCGTTTTTTTAATTCGTTTTACCCGGACAGGTGGTTTGTTTGCTCGTTCGATGTCTTTTTGCCCTTTGTACGGTCATTGATAGCACCCCTCAAGCGTTTTGCATTCTTCCTGCCCCCCTCCTCTCCCCTCTCCCCCCTCTCTCCCCCGCGTGTAATAACGCGCCAGAGTCGCGCGTGTTCCAATTAATCTTCGAATAACGGACTTTGAATAGGCATTGCTCCATTTTATATTTGCACGGCACGAGAGAGCGCTAGAGGGGGCCCATTCATCTTTCGTGAATAGAGTTGTTAACCCTGGCGAACAACCGTGTACGAAGCGAAGTTGCAACAACTCTGTTGTTCGGATAATCGCAGTCGCCTCTCCTCCTGCGAGAGGACAAACAACGCTTAGAGATCGAGAATTCGGTAGATGCGTCTACTAGCGAAGTAATCGAACAGTATATTTCGAATAATTGCTCGACATTTGAACTGTCGTAAAAAAAAGAAAAAAAAGAAGAAGTATAATGCAACAGTGAGTCTGAGCTCGTACTCTAAAATGCTTTTTTTTTTTGAAAATCTATAAATTACTATATGATGTAGTATCTTGCTATAGCAAGTTACTGTATAGTAAATTATTATATAGTACATTGCTATAGTATAGTACATTGTTATCTAAACCTAACCTAAACATTCTCGTGACCAAATCTACGACGCACTTGAAGATTAAAACTTGATGTACAATTTTCTTTTCATTTCTATTTTTTTTCCTTATTTGTCGCTATATTTTCGAATCAAGAAACGACGAAAATTCAAGAAAAATCGTTGCATTTTCATTGTTCTCGAAGCCGACAAATAAAGATCGTACAGCAGGTTTCCTGGACATTCGTTGGGAAATCGTGGATTCTCAGTCTCACGACGAGAACTGTTCAATATTCTTACATGCTTTGTCTTCGTATATAAAACGAGCCCAGAGATTTATTATCACGTGATCGTGTTTCTTCCTACTTTTTCCAACAGAATCACAGCGGCTTAAACGTCGATTTAAATCTGTGGAACGCGAGCCGCTGCGAACGAATCAGCCGAGATTACCCGATCGAATAATTCACCAGCCGGTTAATGAATTCCCAAGGCGCTAATAATTCAGTGGAGGGCGCGCCAGCCAGTGAGCAACGATTTTAATTTAAAGTTCACCTGTCGCGATCTGCGGAGGAATCTGTCTCGAGATCTGGCGATTAGATTGCAATTAAAACGGGGCGCCGCCAGTTTTTTCATTAAAACTTTCCCAAATAAATCTAAAATTCCGATCGAGCAGCGAAAAGAAAAAAAAACCGCGCCATCGTTAGCCATTTAACGATCGTTCGCTGCCATTTTCGTTATCGATTCCGAGCCTCGACACGGGCCTCGCGTCCGCGAAATTAAAGCGCAATTACCACCGCTACCGATCATGGCAATTACAATAATCTGCCGACCGATTAATTCGACGAACGAGTCACGAGCACAAGCGGGTTGTGGCGGCTGGTGTCCACAGGTGCTCGATGTCCCGTGGCCGAACGCGCCGACTGTTCAACGGGACTGCCTGTGCTCCAACCGGTCCCTGCCGATCAACGTCAAGTCCACCTCGAATATAGTCGAGGTACACTTCACCGTCAAGTCCATGGACGCGTTGGACGACTACAACAACCTGTTCTTCGAGGGGACGTGGGACTTCGTCAAGACCAGCCCGTGCTTGCAAAAGCGAAGGGTTAGGGGACCGTCCGGCGAGATCTGGTACAAGGCTCCCATCATCGACGAGGATGAGGTGAGACATGTTTTTCACACCTGTTGACAACAATCTGAATGAACTTTGATA